AGATATGCACACACAGCTCACTAATGGGTATGAATTGCACCCAAAGTTTTTGTGTTTGTTGTTGGTTTTTAGATTGCTAGACAAACCAATGGATTTACCCATAGCATCGTCATACATTTTTTATTGTTGATCTCTTACTCTCTTTTCCAACCCCTACCTCATTCCTGTTTCTCCCCTAATAGATCCTGCTCCTCTTCCATGTCACCTGCACCTGTTGTCTTCTTTCCCCCCTCCAACCCTCCCTTGAGACCTTTTGCCACTCATAGTCCCCTTTCTATCTAGTTTTATGACTTAGACATACACACACACACACACACACACACACACACACACACACACACTCACGCACTCATGCATGCACCTAAGATCCAGGCTGGGTTGATGACATAGTCTGTAAAATGAGTATTCATTGTGCAACCATTAGTACGGAAGTTTCTAATTACTAGAAAGAACTACCACATGACCCAGCTATACCACTCCTGGGCACATACTCAGAGGAATCTAAGTCGTATCACAAGACATCATCATATCTTTGTTTATCACTCAACTACTCACCATAGCTGGAACTGGAAGCAGCCTAAGAGGCCATCGACAGAAGAGTGGGTAAAGAAAATGTGGTACATATATGCAGTGGAATTTTGGTCTGCCATGAATTAAAATGAAATCATGACAGTTGCAACTTTGTGTTTTTAAGTTCCTGATTTGTGGAGGTCAAGTTAGTAAAATGGGCCCATCTTTCTTGGTGAGAGGTTTTTTGTTATTGTTGTTTTGTGTGTGTGTGTGTGTGAACTCCAATTAAGTTTCATGAGCTCATACAGTTGAATAAAAACACCACCACAGTCAAGGTTCCTCAAGTTCCTCACACAGCTCTGTGGTCATCCTTTGTGGGCTAGCAACCCTGCCAACCATGGAAATTGTTTTTGTTCTTACAGTGCTCCAGTCGAACAGTGTATTAATGGGATTGTACCACATGTTGCCATTTCAGTTTGCTTCTTTTGTTTTCAAAATGCATTTCATAATCTAAATTTTTTTATTGCAGTTAGATAAGTGCTGCTGAGATTGGCTTGGAAAGTCAATAGCATTCCTGTATACCTTTAATAACTAATAAGAGATCTAACTAAAAAAATGAACTGTGTTGGGTCTGTGAGATAGTTCAGTGAATAAAGGGGCTTGCTGCCAAGCCGGTTGACAGGAGTTTGAGCCCCCACTATCAACATGGTGGAGGGAGAGAACCACCTTACCACCTTCTGAGAATTTTCTTTGATCTCCATAAACAATCTGTGGCAGGAGGATGCACACACACACATACACACACACACACACACACACACACACACACCTGTGGCTCACACCTGTAATCCCAGTTCTTAGAGGTAGATGCAGGAGGATCAGGAGTTAGTTTCTAGGCCAGTCTGCATTATATGAGACCTAGTCTCAAACAAACAAATGTAAACTTTCATAGAAAAGCAGAGAGTCAAGAATAGCTAGGAAGGTTTTAAGATTATCAGGATTTATCCTAAAGCTTTGTTTATCAAGTTCATGGTTGATATTATTAAGATAGCATGTTAGATAGCAGGCCAGTGGAATAGACTAGGAGCTGAAAAAGAATAACATTTCAGAAAACTTTACATTTGACAGGGTAGTGCTATACACCAATGGGAAAGCGTTCAGCCAATGTGCTGGAGACAATTGGGATCCAAGCAGAAAAGAATAACATTGAATCCCTAATTAATTTCATAAAGAAAATAAATTCCAGATGAGTTAAAATCTAGTAGTGGAAAAGCAAACATTTAGAATGTTCATGTGTAGACAGTTTGCATGTGCCTGCACATGCTTCGGTATGTGCACAAGTTTGCATGTTTGCACATATGTATATGTACATATGTTTATGCATGTGGCTACACTTGTGTGCACATGTGTACATGCATGTGGTGCCCAGAAGTCTTGATCTGACTCTCTCCACCTTATGTTTGGACATACAGCCTCTCACTGAACTTAGAGCTTTCTGTTCCTCATGCCTCTGCCTCTTCAGCAATTGAATTGCTGGTGTGCACTGCCATGCCCAGCTTTAACTTTTTTATTATGTGTATGTGTGATGGAGGATATATGCATGAGCGTCCTGGTAGCAATGGATGCAGCAGATCCTCTAGAGCTACAGTTCTAGGTAGATGTGAACTGCCTGCCTGCTGTGGGTCTGGGAACCGAACACGGGTCCTCGGCAGGAGCTATATGAATTCTTAACTGTTAAGCCGCCTCTCCAGCCCCCATGCCCGGCTTTTTACATGGTATTAGGGATCCAAACTCAAGTCCTTGTCTTATACAGCAAGCTTTTCCCAATGGAGCTATCTGTCCAGACTCAGAAGTTTAAAACTTTTGTAAGGAAAGGTAGCCAAACCTTTTAAAATATATAAAAACAAGTGTCAAAGAGCAGCGTATTTGTTCATATAAAATGCCCAACTTCTGGACAAAAAAAAGACACTGCAGGCCAAGGTACTAGAGTTGATGTTGGAGGAAAAAGACTTGCAGTGCATATGTTGAAGGAAATATCTATACTTGGAATTCAGAATTCCTAAAAAATCACTAGAAAGGTAACTTTACTGAGGGCTGTTAAGGAGCTCCCATTGGCAATAGTCTTAAAAAGCGGATGAACATATGTTTGAGGAAATGTCAACAAGGGCACCATTTCACATCAGGCTGGCCGAAATTCCAGTCTGGTGATACTATTCTGGCAAGAACGGAGAGCGTTAGAACTCTTGTACTTGCAGAAGGAGTAGTAATCAGTGCAATGCTGCCAGGTGGTTTCATGATACCCCCTGGAAGATGCTGTGCGTTGTCACACATGTCCACCTATGTTACGGTGTTGATGTGAAGTGGCTCCTCCAACAAAATGCTTCATGTGTTGAGGGCTAGGTCCCCAGCTAGTGGATCTGCTCACTGAGAGCTGAAGGGGTTGCGAAGGCTCTGACCTAATCAATGAGTTAATTCACTGATGGATTAAAAATTTGTTGGCACCATTGGGAGGTGATGGGAAATTTCGTGGAGGGACATTGTTGGAAGAGGTAGGTCAAGGTGAAGATGTCCTTGAGATTGATATCTTGTCCTGGGCTTTTCTCTGGCTCCCTCTGCTTCCAGGGTGTCACCAGGTAAAAGGACCATGTCTTTGAGACCAACCTGGACTTTGTAGCTAGACCCTATCTCAAAAATCTAAGGGCTTCTAATGCTGGAGCCATGGTTCAGCTGCTAAGAGCACTTACTGCTCTTGCAGAAGACCAAGGTTCTATTCCCAACACCCACACAGTGGCTCACAACCATCCATAACTCCAGTTCCAACATCTCTGACTCCTTTTTCTGACACCCACGGGTACCAGTGTCATGAGTAGTGCGCTTGCATACATGTAGGCTCATACAATAAAATAAAAGTAAGTAAATCTTTAAAAAATAAAACCAAGGGCTGATGAATGGGACATCTATGTCACATCCTCTTCTCCAAGACTTAGGGACCATAGAGGAAGTGAACGGGAATTGTAAGAGCCAGAGATTGGGGAGGATTGAAGTGAAACCGTCCTCTGGACATGCCAAGACAGCTTCACTCCTTAACTCACCGCAACCGTGGTTTCCTGCACATAACTGGCACAAGGTCAAGCCAGTACACATTCTAGCATAGAGTGGGGAGGGACTCATGAGCCCCCACCCCTAGCTGAGGAGCTGTTGATGCTCGTAGGGGAGGGAGAATGGGTTTTCTTTAAGGGTGTGTTCCCTGGTGGGTAGACGGAGCTCCAGTGAATGACCCCATGCCCAGGAGTATATGGGCAGCATGAAATTAGATGGTTATTAAAGAAAGAGAAACAATGAATTTGGGAGGGGGTGAGGACAAGGGGTTGGATTCTAAAATAGGCCTATGCTTACAGAAAAGTCATTAGAGCCAAGCTGAGCATGGTGGCACACATCTGTAATCCCAGCATTTGAGAAGTGGAGTCGGGAGGAGCAGGAGTTCAAGACTACTTTGGGCCACTACATAGCAAGTGTAAGGCCTGCCTGGGCTACACAAGTCCCTATGTAAAAGAAAAAGCAATGTCAGGGTGGAGGATGTAGCTCAGTGGGTAGAGACCTCAGATAGGCTCACGAAACCCTGAGTCCATCCCAGCACCACATAAACAGGGCCTGGGAGGCAAGCCAGTGCTCCCAGCACACAGAGGATAGAAGCAGGAAGATCGGAAGGCCAGGGCCATCCTTAGCTGTAGAGTGAATGCAAGGTCAGTCTTGCCAACATGAGATGCTGTCTCAAAAAACAAACAAAACTCGAGTATGGAAAAGCTGAGGGAGAAGTGACCAGGTTTCACTGAAATGGCTTTGCTGAGATGGATCTTAAAAGATTAGTGGAAAAACACTTGGGTTGAGGGGAGATCTTATACTAAGATTCAGGCAGCAGAAAGAGCTGCCAGGAAGGTGATGATTGCTGGCTTCCTGGCTCATCAGAAAAGCCCATAGGACTCTAATCTGAAGCTCAGAGTGGGGAAACTGTGAGACTGGGGGGTCCAGGAAGGTGGGATCATTGGGCGATGTCCTTTTAAGAGGCATTTGGTCTGGCAGGCACAAAGCCCTAGGTTTGCCTTCAGAATGGCTCATCTGGTTTAAACAGACATAAATGCCAAACCCATTCAGCCTGGACCTGCTTCATTCATTACTTATCGAGAATCGATCATTTTAATCCCAGTGTTCTTGAGTTAGTAGACTCAAATGGACATGTGTCTGTGGAGGGACCCTCTGTTGTCAAACCGGTCTAAGTAAGGGATGCTAGTTACCAGCTCATGTCCCAAGAGACTGTCTGATGGAGCCCAGGCCTCCCTGGCTAGGTGCCCTGTGAACTTTCCAGCTCTGACCTCTATGAAGGTGTTGCTGCTCATTAGAGTTCACAGAGGTTCCACACAATAGACCCCTGGATCCATCTTCCACTGTTTATGTGCTGCCTCTGAACAAGGGCTGGAAACCAGCCTGGCGACATGGATAACCATGGCATCTGTGCCAAGGAGCCGCATGTTATTTCCCCAAAATTGGCTGGGATTGTGCCTGAGGCCTTGCTGATTCAGCCTGGTGCTGTCTGGCATACCCCCAGCTGCTCAGACCTCATCCAAGGTCACAGGTGTCTCCTGGAAGATGCTGACTTTAATGCCAGGAATGGAGATGGAGCTACAAATAAAGCAGACACAAGTCCTGTCTCTATGGGACTTCCTATCTTGTGGGAGAGACAGACTCCGGGACAGACTGCCTAAATGCTTTGGATAAAGATGAGGAATAAAAAATGCAGGGAACTGTGACTGTGTAGGCAAGACAGGGAGAGGAGCCTGGTTTTAGGGGTGGTGAGGACAATAACAAGGGCAGGAAGGCCTCAACTAAGAAGGAAGTGACCTCTGATTCCCAAGAATGCTTGAGTATGGGGCAGGCCAAGAGAGGGATGGAGTGGCTGGGGAGACCTCCTTCACAGGGTCACCTGTACCTGAGCCTGGAGGCCCTCAGGCGAGGCCACACACTCCTTGACCCACCTTCTTGTTTTAAAAAGTCACATTTATTTACTTATTTAGTGGCGGGTGGAAGGGTGGGTACATGGTCCATGTGTAGAAGTCAGAGAACAAATATAAAGAGTCAGTTCTTTCTTTCTACCACTTGGCCCCTGAGATCAAACTCAGGTCATCAGACTTGGAGCCACCTCACCTGCGTTGTTTTGTGTCCTGAAACAGTCTTGCTATGTAACCCTAGCTGGCGTGATACACACTTTATAGACCTGTCTGACCTCCAACTTCCAGTAGTCTTCCTGCCTCTGCCTTCTGCATGCTAGAATTGCAGTCTTTCCCCTCCATGCCCATCATCACCACCATGCCCGGCATCACCACCATGCCCGGCATCACCACCATGCCCACCGTCACCACCATGCCCGGCATCACCACCATGCCAGCACTGCCTGCTCCTTCTTAAATTCTCTCTCTCCCACCTCCATCCTTACTCTTCCTCTCCCTTTCAGTCTACTTTTGTCCCTTTTTCTTGCTTATCTGGCTTCTCATGCCTCTCATCTCAGCCAATGGTGGTGACAAGAAATCAGGCTGTAAGAGGCCAGTCTGTCTGGGTCCACCCATGCTTTACCCCTTCCTAATGATTATGAGACTCTGGGAAAGCAAGTGGCCAGCCTTTCTGAGAACTGGGGCCCTATGTCAATGATGGGGGTTCCTTGACCAGAGAAGTCTAGGCTATATAAGGTCTCTCTCTCTCTCTCTCTCTCTCTCTCTCTCTCTCTCTCTCTCTCTCTCACACACACACACACACACCCACACCCACATCCACCTCTCACTCCTCATTGTCAGAACTGACCTGGTGCTGTTATTTCTGTTTTCCATGGACATTGGTATCCCCCAACCACAGTGCTCCTGATATAGCTGCCCCCCTGCTTGGTTAATTACATATATCTTTGCTATATGATTTCCTAATGCCTAATGGGCATTGACTTTGGGTATCCTCTGCATGGTACTTTTTTCTGACAAGGCAGGTTCCTTGAAGGGAACCCCAACCTCTGTCTGAGATTGCCAGCTCCTGTAAGACCTGAGACTGGGTGGCTTCTGTACCCTGGTCAGCGTGCACTGAGGTGACAGTTGCAGTGACCTTGTCATTCGGGCTAAAGAATGAAGCCCTTCTAGGTCTGACATTCTATTTGTTCATTTTAAAATACTGTTGGGTTGTGTGTGGTGGCTGGCGCACACCTTTAATCCCAGAACTTAGGAGGCAGAAGCAGCCAGAACTCTATTGCGTTTGAGGCTAGCCTGGTCTACATAGAAACTTGCAGGCGGCCAGTCAGAGCTACATAGTGAGATTCTGAGCTGGTGAAGTGGCTCAGTATGTAAAGGTGCTTGCTGCAAAGCCTGTTGACCTGGGTTCAATCCCTGGGATTTACATTGTGGAAGGAGAGTACTGGCACCCACCAGCTGTCCTCTGACCTCCTGATGTGCGTGTGCCATGGCACCCATATGAATACATATGCGTACACTAATGAATAAATACAATTTTTAAAACACCTGTAATTTAAAAAACACCTGTTCTGGGGCAGGGTGTTTCATGCTTGTAATCCCAGTGCTTAGGAGGCTGAGGCAAGAAGGTCTTCAGATTGGGGTCACCCTGAACCAAATGATGAGGCCCTGGTGGACCCTCTCCTTCAAAAAGTGTTCTCAGTCTTCGGGGCATTTATGGGTTACTGGTGAGATGGTTGTCAACCAAAGCACCAAGAAGCAGTAAAAGAACACCCTGATAATGTGCACATGATGCTGAGAGCATTCAGTAGGGAAGGCTGACCTAGTCTGGGAGGCCAGAGAGGAGGCCCGGAAATCATGTGGGTATTGGGATCTGATGAATGAGTAGGTTGTTAATCAAAAAAGATGGAGGGGGAGATTCCAGAAGGAAGCAGCGTTGACAGAAGTAAGGTAGACGGAATCCGAGCTTGTCCTTGAAGACTGATCTCAACAGCAGGTCTGAGGGTTAATTACTTCCTTACCCTAGTGAGAGCTGAAATCAGGCAGCTGGTAAATACTCACTTGCTTCTTAAGAGCAGGACGAGACGTAAGTGAAGGCAGAGTGGAGGTAGTGCTGGTGGGGGGGGGCGGAGATTGACCTGATTAGATTTGTGATTTTTGAAAAAGCTTATTCTGGCTGCTTTGAGATGCTGAGGTCAAATCCAATGATTACAGGCTTGAGGAGCTGCTGATGGCTCAACATCAAGAAAGGAAGTCAGACTTGGATAGCGCCTTGGCGGCTCAGCTGGACTATGCCTTCCCATTGACCTCCATTACTCCAAATCACCCTTTCATGCTGCCCAAGCCAATGGCAGGAAGTGTGTGGGTGGACTGTCTCAGGAAGCATTTCCTAAGGACCTTCCAGCAGTGACAGGAACCCTTCGGGAGACCTAGAGAACAGTCCCCTGGAGCTGATGTATGATTTCCATTACACAGGATCTGTGAAAATCACATCTCTTCTTTTTCCTCTGTCTCACCTCTGCAGGCTTATATTTGGCACCCTTTATCCTGCATATTACTCCTACAAGGCTGTGAAGTCCAAGGACATTAAAGAATACGTAAGTAAAGCCTCTCGTTTGGGGGTGGCTGATGGGGTGTGTGGCTGAGTATCAAGTCGTGGTAGAGGAAGATAGTCCTTTGGTGTGGGTACTGGTGGCAAGAGGGAAAATCTTCATCACCCCCTTCTCATGTGACTTCTCAGGAGTCCCATCCCCTTCCAAAACTGCCCCCTGTCCAGACCCTAAGTGCTGAAGTGAGGAAAGCAGAGAAGTATGAGAGGAAATTGCATCCGGAACTAGAGGCCAGGTGCCACGGTGACTTCATCTCTCCCAGCCTGGGTTTCCCCGTCTGGGAAACTCTGCAGACCACAGACCAGCATCAGGCATTGAGAGGTGCACAGGTCTGAGGAGCCAGCTGGCCTGGCTGTTTCCTGGCTCTCCAGTTCTGACCCTCTCCAGGCCGTCTTCCAGCACCCAGAGTTTAAGCCTTGTTGGTGTGTAAGCTCTTGGAGGATGAGGTGTTCGTAGTCATTTCTCTGCAGCACCTTGCAGAGACATGGCAATGGGACCAGGAGGACTCACCGGTTAGAGGATTGCAATCGTTACTGTTGGTGGCTTGGGTGCTGCATGCATCATTCCTGGTGATCAAAGGGACCTCCTGTTTAGCCACACCATTGACCAAGACCTGCCAAATGAAGGATGTGATGAAAATGTCCTTTTCCTTGTAGGGAACTAGCCCAGGTCAAAGTGAGGAGGATGTGGGCTTGGTTGTAAAGAGACTGAGTTACCAAGTCCTAGCTCTGAAACTTATTGGTGCTAATTACAGGCTAGACAAGTGGCTTAAACCTCAGGTCATCTTCTGAACTGTAGAGTGGTAACAATCCCTTTTCCTCTTAGATGATGCTTGACAAGTTTGGGGTCGGGAGGACTCACTCATTAGAGGATTGCAGTCATTAATGTTGGGTGCTCCCAGCATTATCTCTGGTCATTTTGGTGTATAGGTAAAAAGATATTTCAAGGGCTGGAGAGATGGCTCAGTAATTAAGAATACTGCTGCTCTTACAGAGGACCAGGGTTCAGATCCCAAAACCCATTTGGGGAGGCTCACAACTACCTGTAACTCCAGCTTAGAGGATCCAACACCATCTTCTGACCTCCTCAGGCACTTGCACACACAAGTACATTCTAATACACATAGACACAAAAAAGAAAGAAAAGTAAAATCTTAAAAGAAAGAATTAATTCAGAGATAACTTGAAAGTCATTATTTTCATGGATCTCCCAAGAAGTCTTTATGATGAACACCTCTAGATCAGCTACAGCCAAACAAAACTTGGACCCTTTCTTGCAGTTTCACAGAACCACTCGCTTCAGCTACTCCTACTAGGGAATTCAGAGTGGGTAACTTCTGGAGGCCAGTCCCTGGCATGTGTGAGGACAGCTCGGTGTGCACACTATAAATAGCTGAGAAATTGCAAACACAGAGGCCCCTGGTTCTCAATTGACACAGCCCAGGCTAAAGCAATAGGCAGCTTCTTCTAGCCCTACCCCGGCTGACCCTTCCCACCTGTGGTGCTCAGCAGCTGTGCCAGGCAGGGAGGCCTTACTGAGGTCTGGGCAGTGCAAGGACTGATCGAAAAGCAGACGTGCTCCCAGCCAGCTGGGAGAGATCAAACCCTGGTAAATTGTTAGGCGCTGACTAAACTCACAGGAGCCTGGTGTATGACCAGAATGGCAATTCATTAATTTAGAGTGAAAACTAACTGACAAGCCGAACAGCTGTTTGTGTTGTCTGGCTGTCCACACTTTTCCTCCTGGGGGAGAGCTTGGGAGTTAAGATTGTTTCTGGGTAAAATTGGCATTGGGAGAAAGGAGTTGAGCAGTACTAGGGGAGACCTGGCTCCTTCCTCTGTCCTCACATGCATTCTGCTTCTGTCTCTGTGTCTGTGTCTCTCTCTGCCCCCCCCCACACACACTCACTCACTCACACAATGACCCAATGCTCTCAAAGCTCTAGCATACCCAGTGTCTGCATATCACACATGCACTCACACTGTTAACATGTTTCCTTTTTGTGGTCTGCATATCACACATGCACTCACACTGTTAACATGTTTCCTTTTTGTGGTCTGTTCTGTTTTATTTCTATGGCTCTGATGAAACATTCTGACAAGGGTCAGGAGAGATGGTTCCATGATTAAGAGCACTTGCTGCCTTTCCAGAAGACCTAGGTTTGGTTTGCAGCACCTGGGTTGTGTGGCTTACAACCACCTCGAAGTCCAGTTCTAGGGAATCTCTCTCTCTCTCTCTCTCTCTCTCTCTCTCTCTCTCTCTCTCTCTCTCTCTCCCTCTCTCTATTTCTCTTTCTGTGTGTGTGTGTGTGTGTATGTGTGTGTGTGTGTGTGTCTGTGTCTCTCTCACACACAGATTAAAAAGCAAAAATAAATCTTAAAAATTTAAAAAAGAAAACACTCTGACTAAAAGTGGTTTTCGGGAGGGAAGCGTTTGGCTTACATTTCTAGGTCTCTGTCCATCATGGAGAGAAGCTAGCCAGAACTCAAGCAGGATGTTAGAGGCAGGCCTGCTTGCAGTGCCTCAAACCAAGGAATTCACTCACATCCAAGGACGTATAGCCGAAACCATGGAGACTACTGCTCTGATGGCTTGATTAGGCTCATGCTCAGCACCTCTCTTATACAGCACAGGACCACCTGCCCAGAGAATGGGGCTGCCCACGATGGGCTGGGCCTCCTAAATCAACTAACAATCAAGACGATCTCCTATGGACATTGCCACAGGCCAGTTTGATCTGGGGAGTTTCTTGATGAAGACTCTTCCAGATGAATTTCACCTGTGGCACTCATAACCACAATTGTCCAGAAAACCTGGGGCTTTCCTGTGACTCCAGCCTCTCCTCCACTATCTGTCTCCATTAATTATCATATCCAGTTGGTGATCACCCCTCATCCTTAGGACTATTGTCATCTTCCAAATCAGGTCTTTCATCCTTCTCTACAGCCAATCCCTGAGACTGGCTTCACACCATTTTCCCTGCAATGAGTCAGTGGTTTCTTGAACTAACTTTTAAAAATATTTACTTATTATTTTTAAATTGGTTATACCTGAGATTATATTATTATCTATAATTTATAACATATGTACAAAACATAGGTTATTGGATAATGCAAATTTATTTTATTTTATGTGTATGGCATCAAATCCCCTGAGTCTGGAGTTACAGAAAGTTGTGAGCCACCATGTAGTTGATGGGCATTGAACCCAGGTCCTATGGAAGAGCAGCCAGTGCTCTTAATGGCTGAGCTATCTCTTTATCCCAGGATAATGCAAAATTTTAAGACTGTAACAATAACTCCCTCATGACTACTAATATTTATGTTGCTGAGTTATTCCCTTGTGGCTACACTCTCATTTTTATATTTTTGTTATTAAAGTTTTCATACAAGTTTTGGATTAGCTTCTTATTGTCACTATAACCAGTTACCACAAACTTCCCAGCATAAAACAACATACATTATTAGATTTTGACCCTGGAGACACAGGCAGGGATGTTTTTCTTGGAGTGTTTGGAGTAGAGTCTGTTCCCCTGTCTTTGTGGCTCCGAGTGACAGTTGCCCTTCAGCACAAACCCTTTCCTCATTCTTTGGAGCCAGAGGCATTGTCTCTGAGGAGTCCTCCACAGTCACCTCCCCCCTCAGACCCAGCTGGGAAGAGTCCTCTTTTAAGGATGCATGTGATTACAGTTGGTAGGATGACCTTCCCATCCCAATATCCTTAATAATTCTGATATGTAGTGGTCACTATCCTTAGAGAGCTGCTAATAGAGAGAGACCCTTTCTCAAAACTGAAACTGTTGGAATTAATGTGTTAACTGATATTAAATGGATTCATTGGGCAGGAGTGAGTCAAAGTTCAGGTGTGCCTGCCAAAATTGATTGCATCCTTATGGAAACAATATTGTCATTGAAATTAGTTTTCTATATGATGCTATAAAAAATATCCAAACAGTGTTGAGAAGTAAGATACCTAAGAACCAGGATAATTGGGAACTGTATGCTGGACACCTGGCATCTATAGGACACCCAGACTTTCTCATTTTTTCTAATACCTTATCTTTTTGTTTCATTTATATATGTATTTAAATCCCCGTTTGAAATCTTACTTTGGTTCTTTGCAGTTCAAGATCCAGCCAAGAGCTTTGTTATTTTTGTGGAAGATTTTTTTGCTCTGTAGTACAGACTGAACTCAACCACATGATCCCCCTGAGCACCCCGAGTGCTAGGATTCTGGCCATGACTTTGAAAACAGCTTATAGTGTCAATTTTGGGGTTTTCTTTTCTTGACTTCCCTTCTCTGAGGGTCTCCCCTCTTGAACTTGCAGGTGGTCTGGCAGGCTCAGGTTCCTTCCCCAGCTCTTTGGGGCTTTGTCCTAAGGCATAACCTAAATTAAGTCTAAAATTCCTCCAAGGTTTTTGCTTGGAATCTTACTCTGATCGTACAACAGCCTATTTGCTCCCGGCATGGAAGATGTGTAGCAGAACTGCTCCTGAGTTAGGGAAGTATGAGAAGGGGACAACAGGTACAAGTGGCACACCTGGACCTGCCTCAGTGTCCACTGCCTTGGGATGAGCAGCCATGACCTTGTCTACCAACTCTTTTTCTCAACAGGTCAAATGGATGATGTACTGGATTATATTTGCTCTCTTCACCACAGCAGAGACGTTCACAGACATCTTCCTTTGCTGGTAAGTGCTCCAGGGACTGGGATGTTTCAAAGGGCAGCTTTGTCTGGTGTGGGGAGAGGTGGGGAAGGACCTCAACCTTCCTTGGACCAGAGGAGCAAGGCCAAAGCTGGAATGTTAGTTGGAACATTTTTAGTTGTAGAGCGTTTCCATCTCACCTGGTCCCACGGCCGTTTAGCCCAGAATAAATACACCGAGGCTTATATTAATTATAAACTGTTTGACTGATGGCTTGGGCTTCCTACTGGCTAGCTCTCTCTTAATTATTAATCCATATTTCTGTCTACATTTAGTAAGTTACTCCATAAAAGTTATTCAAGTGAATTTCCTTGATGATCTTCCTAAGAGCAGGTGTTGTGTAAGGCACTAGGGATGCGTTATAGACTACATGGCCAGAGCTCCTCTGTAAATGGAGTTGGTAAAGTGTAGTCATGTCAAAGAAGGAAAGAAGTGATATATGGGAGTAGGCACGAAAGGGGCTAAGCCTCAGGAGTGAAGCACTAGTGCTCTCTGTGCGTGAGGCCCTGGGCTTGAGGCCCAGCACTGCAAGACAAAATAAGTGTGCGATCAGAATACCACATTTACTCCTAACCCTTGTGCTCTTCTCATAACTGCTATTCACACTTGTATGTCCTCGGAAAACATTTGATGGTGCCAGGTGTGGTGGTGCACGCCTTTAATTGCAGTGCTCTTGAGGCAGAGGCAGGAGGATCCCTGTGAGTCTGAAGCCATCTTGAACATAGTGGGTTCCAGGATAGCCAGGACTGCAGAGAGAGACCCTGTCTCAAAAAACAAAAAACAAACAAACAAAAAAAGCCAAAAGCAAAATTGTTGGTATGCTAATAAACATATTTACACAAACATTTTTATTTCTAAAATTGTATTATTCCGTGTGTGAGTGTGTGTGTGTGTGTGTGTGTCTATGTACGTGTGCTACATAAGATGCATATGTGGTACATGTGAGCTTAAGCATGCCATGGTACACATGTGGAAGAGAACAATTTTGTAGTTATCTCCTTCCAATTGTATGTGTGTTCTGGGCATCAACTCGGGTCACCAACCTGTACAACAAGCACCTTTACCCATTAAGCCATCTCACTAGCCCAGTGTTTTAAGGTAACTTTTTTTGAGATAATGTCTCAGTGTAGCCTAGGCTAGTCTTTCCCACTAAAAACCCCTCTTTCAGATTCCTACATGCTGGGATTACATCAGGAAGACTCCCATGTCATCTGTAGAGATGAGGATACTGGGTCCCAAACCAGAATGGGTCCATTAAATAGCGTGGCCAGCACCTGGAGTCATCCAGTCATGTGTCCTTCGGGCTCCCTCAATCTAGTGCTGTGTTTTGGCCTGCTGTCTTCTCCTTCTCATGGATAACAGGGAGCTATAGTGTTAGTCTCGGGAGCTCCTTCCTGGAATATGGACATGTTAACATTGTTACCTTTGCTGGATAGAAATCCTGGCTAGTGGTAGCTGTGCTCCTATCAAGTCACTGGACTACTCACCTATCATGGTACAGTTTTAGAGTTTTCTACCTAGTAAGTACTCAAAAACTAATTTTTTTTTAGTCAATTTAATTTTTTTTCTCAGTTTTTTGAGATAGGTTCTTACTACATAGGCCTGGCTAGCCTGAAACTTGCTATGTATACCAAGATGACCTTGAACTCATAGAGCTCTGCCTGCCTCTGCCTCCCAAGTACTGGGATTTTTGTTTGTTTGTTTGTTTTGTTTTTGAGAGAAGGTTTCTCTATGGTTTTGGAGGCTGTCCTGGAACTAGCTCTTGTAGACCAGGCTGGTCTCGAACTCACAGAGATCCGCCTGCCTCTGCCTCCCGAGTGCTGGGATTAAAGGTGTGCGCCACCAACGCCCAGCACCAAGTACTGGGATTAAAGGTGAGTGCCACCATACCTGGGCCTGTCAATTGATTTTTATTTGGTGAGACATACAAGTTTTTTTTTGCACACAGTCCTTATTCTACCATCTCTGTTGATGAACCAAATTCTCTGTCAGAACCTCACAAGGCCAGGGTCAAGGTGTGGGACAGCTGGGGCTCTGTCTGAAGGCTCTGGGAAAGATTCCGAATCACAGTCATTGAGTTGTTAGCTACATTCTGTCTGTTGTGGCTGTAGGACCTGGGGCTCTGCTTTCTTCACATGCACCACTCCCTTCTTCAAGCTCACAATGGCATCTTGAGCCTTCTCAGGCTTCAGACGCTGTCTTCTTCCAACTGAAGATTGTGTGTTTGCTATGTAATGTGATTAGATAGGCTCACCCCAACAATCCAGATATCTCCCCATCTTAAAGTTAGCTGTGAGTAACCTTAATGGAGGTATGTCTGGAGTGTTTATACAGGGCTTGGTAGAATCCCTACCTTCCTGCTTGTCAAGTGGAGGCCTCACCTGTTCCCCTGTGGCCCTCTTAGCTGGTGGTGTCTGGCAGTTTATGGGTGGGAAGTGAGGGTTCCTTGCCCCACTCCTGGAGGAAAGCCTCGGTTCTGCAGAGGAGGGCTCTCCTGGATCTGGCCCCTCAGGCTGCACTCATCACTCATCCCCATTCCATCTTGTTTACTACCCTTCCCAGGGCAGTTTTCCTCCTCATAGTTCTCTCTCTCTCTCTCTCTCTCTCTCTCTCTCTCTCTCTCTGTCTCTCTGTCTCTCTTTGCTTCTCTTATCTTATCTTCCCGTGTTCTACCTTGAGGGAAGCAGCAACTCAGTGGTCACAGAATAGATTGAATGGCGATTTGCTTACAACTTGTAGAGGTGGTTTCATTTAATCCTTTTTAAATTATAAAATAATTTGTGCACATGGCATAATAAAATTGAAATAATACATTGAAAATTCAGTGCAGGGACTGAGGATGTTGTTGGCTTGTGGAGCATTTGCTTAGCATGTGTATGACCTGGGGTTCGGTCCCAACACCACCAAAGAAAAACAGGAAGAAAGGAAGAAAGAAAGAGAGAGAGAGAGAGAGAGAGAGAGAGAGAGAGAGAGAGAGGAAGGAAGGGAGGGAGGGAGGGAGGCAGGCAGGGAGGGAGGAGCAGAAGAGAGGAGAGAAGGAAGTAAATCTGTGGGCTGGGGCACAGCCTCAGTGGAAGAGTGCACACTTAGTGTGTGTGAGGCCCTGGATTCAATCATTAGCAATGCCCCTCAAAATAACAAGTCTTTCCTCTCCCCCATTCCTTCTTCTACTTAGGGGTATCACAATGAAAAGTTACCTGTGTTTTCTTCTAGAAACACTGTACACATCAATTGCATGTATTTGGATGGTTTTGTTGCATGTCCAGTGCCCTTATGGAAGACAGGCATCTCTCGAGCTCATGGAGACCACAGCTGCCTGTGTCCTTCAAGGCCTTGCCTTAGAAGCCACTGAGGAAGTGCGGGTAGCTTTCTCCTCAGATACATACTGGGGAGGTGGGGGTGGGGCGTGATTCCTCAATAGCATCTTAGCATGCAACCTTTTCTACCCCAAGGCTGAAGACCCGGATGGTAGGATGGGATAGAAGCAGACTTAGCTGGCAGAGGTCGTGGTAGTGAAGCCAACAGATCTGAGCGGCTCCACCTGCAAGGGCCCAGTTCTGTTTGTGACTGTTTATTCTGGAGGCATCAGCAGCACACTTTTTTTTGTAAAGGGCCAGATAGGAAATACTTTAAGCTCTCAGACCTGTATGCTCTTTATTGTAGCTACTCAGCTGAGCCATGGTAGTGTGAAAACAGCCACAGATAATGCATAAATAAGTGACTAGGCAGTATTCTGATAAATCTTTATAAAGTCAGGAGATAGGCTTTGGCCAATGAACCCATGCTGTTATTGGATCTCTTGAGTCCATTCTAGCGAACAACAGGGATTCGATGGCTAACTTAAGAATAATTCACAAATGGGAAGGAAAGTAAATTCTGAAGGGGGAGCAGCGTGCACCTCAAGGGCCCTCCCACAAAGCTTAGAGATTGCTCCAGCCAGTTGGCCCCTCTCTGCTGCCTGTGCCGGTGTTCCAGAACTTCTCGGTTCCAAATTGCACTCTTCTGTGATTTGGGAATGACTACTCAGTGCTTCTTTAGCAGTACTTAGTGATCTAGCATCAGTTAGTATAAACAGGACCACCCCAGGTCTGTCCCTCTTAGGGCAGAATAATGGAAGCAGGGCAGTATCTACCCAGCTCCTGCCATGAGTGTTTCAAAAGCCCACTGTGCGGGTTCTATCCAGGTACTAACACTTCTGTTGGAGCAGTACTTCCTGCAGCCTTTGTGGGGAAGAACACCCAGTCAGGGTATTCCCAGCCCAGGGAGGTGCAAGTGTGAATACCTCCATTTCATCTATTTTTCCCTGTCTTTGCTCTTGACCCCTTCTCTAAGGTTGAAGGCTAGCATTCTTTTCATGTAGTGTGTATTCATGTGTCCCTTCACACGCCCTTAATTCCTTCACTTCCTTTCTTCACCAAGATGTATGCATGGCCTTCCCTCTCTCCTTTCCACCCATTCATGCTTTCAAGTGTGGGATCTCAAGAACAGCTCCCGGCCTCTTCTCGACCATAGCCCAGGGGGACCCGGCTTCTCAGGGAGCCTTCTCATGTGTCCAGGAGACTCCACTCTATTCTCACTAGGAACTTGCCTTTCCTCCCCTCTAAAACTTAGGGTCCACTGATACCCACCAGAGGATAACCTCTGGAGGCTCCTCAGGGATTTGTTTTCCACATGTGATGGTTGGGGTAATACCAAAGACAGCAAGGAAAACTCGGGGGAAGGCGAACAACAAAAGGAAATTGGGGGTACACTAATGCCTTGCGCCCCACTAGGGCATTGTCCATACTTGCACTGTATTATGTGGCCTTGCTATGGACTCACCCAGTTGGCTTAGCTCTCTCATAGGAGCAAGGATGTGCCTAACCTATTGTGCTAGCTGTCTCTGTCAACCTGACACAGCTTAAGAGTGATCCCAGAGGAAAGCATGATTGAGGAATTGCCTCAATTGGCAATTGATTGGCCCGTGAGCAGTCTGTGGGGAATTATAGTGATTGCTAACTGGTGTAGGGGAACTCAGTGTGGCAACAACCCCCTTGGCAGGTGGTCCTGGAAAGGTAGCTGAACATGAACCTGTGAGGGAGCAAGTCAGCAAACAGCATTCCTCCAGGTTTGCACTTCAAGTTCCTGCCCTGAGTTCCTTCAGTGATGAACTGTGAAGTGTAAGGCAAACAAACCCTCTCCTCCCTTAAGGGAACAGACTAGAACACCGTCCTGCTCTGTGTATGCCTTTCAACTTGCACCTTTACAGAAGGGTTTTCTCCGTGGAATGAATACAAGTAAAAAATGAACCAGTGGATCAGCCAATCAACCAGTCAACAAACAGGTATCTCTGGAGATCAATAGAGCAGGACAAAATGTCTGTAGTGTGAGGGCAGCGATGGTCAGAGACAGGATAAAGTCTTGAGACTCTGGTTTTGCTATCAAGAAAACACTCAACACAGACAAGCAGGAGCTTCCTTCTTAGTGTCCCTGGAGATGAAACCGAGCTTTAAAACCAGAGCTTTGTTGAGAAGGAAGTGCAGGCTGAGAATGAGGAAATGGAACCAGGACTAGGGTAGTGCTGGGACCAACGGAGAGGCTGGGTTTCCATTTACGTGCACCATTTGTAAAGGTAGATTAGGGTCTGTCCAGTCTTCCTTACCCACGACACAGCTTTACGAGTTGTTTTCTTTCTGCCTGTAAACATTGGCAGTCGGCTTCTCTCTGGAGTTGTTGCTTTCCTGCAGCATCCCACCTGGCTTCAGTGTCCTGGTCCTGTGAAAAGGATGGGCTAAGAGAACACATGGGAGACAGGGAGGATGCAAGAAACCACATGCGTTAATGTTTTCAACATTAAGTGTCACTGGAATATGCTCTGCTCTGTTGGTCTGATAAGAGAAGGCCCAAGGAATGAACCAAAAGGTAGGGAGACAGGAAAAAATTTATTACTGTTTTTCAAAGATACTCTTGCAAGTGTATTTGTGTGTATGTGAGGGCGTATGTGTGCATATGCATTCATTACAGGCATGTGTGTGTCCTCTGAAGCCAGAAGAGGGTGTCAGATTCCCCTGAGATGGAGATATAGGCAATTGTGAGTCTCCCAGTATTGGTGCTGGGAACCAAACTCCCATCCTCTGGGCAACACGTGTTCTAAGCACAGACTGTCTTTCCAGCCCTGCAGGAAGGTTTTAAAAGCTGCACCAGCATGGGTGGGGTATTTCAGAAAGATTCTAAAGAGCAAGTTATCTGCAACAAACGGTTCAGAGAATCAAGGTAGGCTGGCAGTCCCAAGAGGCCCCTGGGAGAGTCTAATAGGCATATGCATTTCTTAAACCCTAATCTTGTAGCCTGGGACAGAGACTCTTAGCTGGCTGTACAGTGAGAATGTGGTTACTCAGTCTGTATGGAGGTGCCTGCTATCTACAAAGTGCATACCCACACAGTAGCCTCATTTGCATGTGTGTGCAAAGAAGCATACACAGGGACATTTGCTGGAAGCTTGGCTTATAGTAAACAAAGGTTGTCCTCAATGCTTTTGCCTGGAGATGCTTGCACACCTATAGGAAGCCGTGAAGAAGACTGAGACAGTCTCCCATGTATACAGTTGATTCTGTGCAGATTAGGGAAAGCAAGGTATAGAGGAGGTATAGAGATGCTACCATGATACCAATGCTGCCACCAGGCAGTTAAGGACATCACAGGTCCCTACATGATTGAATAGGCCTAGCTCCTAGATCAAGATATGCAAGAAACTGATTAAGAAAATTCTAGAGGTCATGTCTGGGAAGGAGACTCTACTGTATACTCTTAGATTCTTTAGCACTCCTTAACTATGTACATGCATGACCTACTTTTTAAAAATGTCTTTTACATAATAACCAGAAGAGCTGCAGTGTAACGGCTGCCCTTGAGACTGTCTGTGTATCTTAGGCTGGTGTCTGAGCTTGTTGGATTCAGTCGCTTTCCCTTGGGCTGGCAAATAATTTGTTTTCAAAACAAAAGTCCCTCCATTATTAATCACCAGCGTGTTTCACTCCAGGGGAATCAATCACGCCTCTCCTCTTTCAGCCCGTCTTTTGTGGCTGTGAAAGATGAAACAGCTTTGCCAGGAAAGGACACCCCCCCTCCCCAGTTGCTGGGAGAATATTCAGGAAGAGCCTACTGGAGGCAGAAAGTAGACAGGCTTTGGTGAGGTAGAGCTGCTGATGGGGGAGAGGGGACTGGGTGAGTGTGGAAAGGCTCCAACATGACTTGCTAGGGATTGCTTTTATTTTCAGCTCCCTTTATCTGGGAAGGATGCCTGGGAAAGATTTACTGTTTGATGCCTCAGACTAGCATAAGAGGCCTTCTCATCCACTGCATCTTGTTTTAAGGATGCCTGAGATTTGTTTTAGGTTGATGTGGTCATACTTTTGAACCTGAAAATGACTGACAGGAAGAGAGTTATTTATTCAGCTCACAGATCCCTAGAAACAGAAAGTGCAGCCTACTGCACCACACAAGGCCACAGGGGTAGGTACCAGAATGGTTCTGGAGGCAGAGGGTGGGAACAGTGGCTCTCACTGTCAGTACCATGGGAAGGAATGGGCTAGGAAGGTGAGTGGATTTGCGGTTGCTATTGTAAATGGTTCTGAGATGCAGGAGCATCTCTGGATCCTGGTGCTGCTCCTAGGGACATGCAAGCATATGCGGAATATGAGATCCTCCAGGCTTTGGACTATTGGCCTGTGTGTGAAAGCTGTAAAGCTCTGAGCATAGGCCTTTCCCTCACTCACTAGCCCACTCTCATTCCCAGGACTGATTTCCTTTTCTTAATAGACTGTCTCTATTTCTACTTTTATAAAAAAAAAAAAAAGAAGAAAGGAGGATGGGCATGGTGGTTTGTACCTCCAATCCCAGCACTCAGGAGGTGGGGACAGGGAGATGTCTATGAGTTCTACACTAGCTTAGTCTACATAATGAGTTCTAGGCCACTGGGACTACAGGTGAGACCCTGTCTATAAAATAAAATAAAGGCAGTTTATGGGAGGGTGCTAGAGAGATGGCTCAGCAGTTAAGAGTGCTTGCTGCTCTTACAGAGGACTAGAATTAAGTTCCCAGCATTCATAGAGGGCAGATCAGCTTCTGAGCTTCTAATTCGTTACTAGGTGGATCCTTAACTTCTGCAGGATCTGATGCCCCCTCTGGCTTCCATGGTCACTGCACTTACATGCATAAAGCCCCACTCAGACATACATATACACAAAATTTAAATGTGAAATATTAGAAAAACGGAAGAAAGTTCAGAAGGACCCTGTGTTTGTGCTGGGGAGCTCATTTTTGCCTTACCCTGGTAATTCCCCCAGAGTCAGCAAAGCCTCAGGATGTCAAACTGCCAGAGTACAGAAAATCAAAACTTGTGGTAATCTATGTTATTCACAGCCCCAGGTAAAGACTGAGGTGGTTGGGTTGAAATCTGGGTTAAACTCTGCTTACCACACCATGGCCCCACTGACTACAGTGAGTGAGAGGCTTGGCTTTCTATTTTTTCAAAGACTTACTGTAGAGTAGCAGAGACCCACTATGACCTACTGTAACACTTGTCTTGGGTTGACAATTATTTTATCAATCAATGCTAAATTCAAGGATGGCAGACTCTCTTCTCCCCTCTCCTTCCCCTCTTCCTCTTCCCTCTCCTCTCCCCTCCTCTGTTCTCACACCTCCATCCTCTTTCTCTGTCTGTTGATGTTTCTGAAGGTATATATACATATGTGCATGCATGTATTTGTAGGCCAGAAAAGAGTTTCAGGTGTGGCTTTCCTGATCTATCTACTTTGTTTGTTTGTTTGTTTTTCGAGACAGGGTTTCTCTGTGGCTTTAGAGGTTGTCCTGGAACTAGCTCTTGTAGACCAGGCTGGCCTCGAACTCACAGTGATTTTTTTTTTAATTTTTTAATTTTTTTTATTTTTTTGAGACAGGATCTCAGTGACCTGTGACTCGTCATTGAGGAGGCTAAACTGGCTGGCCAGTGTCCTAGGGACTCCCTGTCTCTGCCTTCCCAGTGCAAGGATTATAAGTACATGCTACCACACCTGGCTTTTCTTGGTGGGTTCCATGGCTCACACTCAGTTCATCACACTTGCAAAGCAAGCATTCTCTTGACTTCACTACCTCAGCCCAAGATGCCAGAATCTTGCCTCTTTCAGAGGTTCCAAGATCGCAGGGATCTTCTTTAACACTCCCCTCACAGCACCACATATAAGCTGGCACGGACAAATGTAGGGGGAGTGTTTGTGGCACAAGTGAATGAATGGGCCTGAGGGTGTGTAGCAGTCCGGGATGGTATGTTACTTACACCCCCACGCTTCTTTCTTTTGGCTCACACGAAGAAGATTAAGATCTCTGTGCCTGCCACTGAGTTGAGTAGAGTACTAAGATCCCCTGCTTGGTGGAGTCAGGCTCCCTTCCGGCCTCTACTGACACAAGAAAGTGAGGTGCCGGGCCAGTGTGGAAACCCTGCCAGGCTCACCTTGCTGTAATGCCCCTGGCCTCTGTGTCTCCATAAATAACGACCAGGTGCCCAGACACAAGCTTGATCTCCCACACACAAGCTGCCGCTGGATTCACATGCCAACCGCAGTGAGCATAGCCCTGCAGTTTCTACTGGCAGCTGCTGCCAGGCAAAGCCGTGCTGAGATTGCTGGAGGGAACCTGCCTTCCTGGTTTTCTTGGGAAACAGAAACAAAACAAAACACGAATTGGCTTTCAGGGAGAGGTCTTGGGTGTGTAGATGTGCATGTGTGTACACGTGCCTTCCACGGGTAGAGGATGAGGAACCTGGGAACCTGTCATCTGTGTATGAGGTGGGAGGCATTCGTGTCAACCGCCAACCGCCGTCTTTCTACACGGGCCTCAGGCAGTGCTTCTGAGAACCTAATGGAATGTGTATCTTCTTATCTTTCCAGGTTTCCGTTCTATTATGAACTAAAAATAGCGTTTGTAGCCTGGCTGCTGTCTCCCTATACAAAAGGATCCAGCCTCCTGTACAGGAAGTTTGTTCATCCCACACTGTCTTCAAAAGAAAAGGTAACTGACACTGCTTCTAGCAAGTGAAAAACTCAAAGTTCTGTGTAGAAAGGATTGTTCTGTTGAAGGAGAGCCCTTGTGGTTCCTTTTCAATTCAGCAATTCCATTTATATATGGAAACAACATATATAAAATCTTCTCTTTCACTCTGTCTCTCTCTCTCGTTTACTGTGTGTAGGCACATGCATGCCATAACACACATGAAGATTAGAGGACAATTTGCAGGGAGAACAATGGTTCTCTCCTTCCACCATAACTATCCTGACAACTGGACTCAGGCTATAAGGCTTGGCAAGTACCTTTATCCACTGAGCCATCTCATCAGCCCATCTCTCACAATTTTTGTTTTTTTTTAAGATAGGGTCTCATTCTGTAGCCTAGGCTGTCCCTGAATTCACAATGTAACCCAGGTTGGCCTCCAACTCATCATGATCTTTCTGCTTTAGCCTCCCATGTGCTGGGGTTAAGGCTTACACCACTGTGCCCAGTCCAGTGCCTTTTTAAAAAGCACTTCTGTAGCCAGGCACGGTGGTGCATGCCATTAATCCCAGCACTTTGGCGGCAGAGGCAGGCAGGTCCCTGTGATTTCAAGGCCAGACTAGTCTACAAAGCAAGTTTCAGGCCAGACAAGACTAAACATGGAGACGCCTCCCCAATTGTTTGTGTAAGCTTCTGTTTGATTTTCAGATTTCACTTTTTTATTCTTCTAATTGTATGTATCTATGGAGTACAGCATGATGATTCTATACCCGCCTGCGATTTGTGCTGGCCAAATCAAGGTAGTTAGTGTTACTATCTCCTTACACATTTTTTAATTATTCATACATAATAATTGTACATATTTACAAGGTACAGTGTGATATTTCAGCATTTGTACAATGCGTGCTGAGCAGATCAGGGTAATTAGAAATTCTTTCTCATTATTACTGTGTCTTTGGAAGCTTCCACCTCTCTCTCTCTCTCTCTCTCTCTCTCTCTCTCTCTCTCTCTCTCCCCCTCATTGTGAACTACTGTCCCCTCCATCACTACAGAACATTAATGCTCTCATTTCTTCTGTCTGTAGTGCAGTCCAACTTCCTATGTCCCTTGTCTCCTCTCCTCCTCTTGAACTCTACATCGAAACTGACTATTTTAACATCCACTCAGGAAAGAAAACTTGCTATTTGTACTTCTGGGTCTGTCTTATTTCACTTTACCCAGTGTCCTCCATTTTGGCCCATTTTGCTTAGAAAGATTATCTTTGTGTATTATAGCTGAGTAATTTTCCATTATGCTTATATACCATAGTTCCTCCTTTATCCAATGATGAGCATATGGATTAATTCCACATTTTACTTTCATGAATAGTATAGCAATATCTGATTGGTTCAAAATGTGCACAGTTATCTCAGTAGATGCAGGAATTCAATATTCCTTGGGATGGAGAGATGGCTCGGCGGTTAAGAGGACTTGTTGCTCTTGTAGAGGACCTGAGTTTTTCCCACCGCTCACATGGTAGCTTACAACCATCTGTAATTCCAGCTCCAGAGGATCTGACATCCTCTTCTGACCTCTGCAAGGACCATACACATGTGGTGTTTATACATACATGCAAGCAAAACACTCATACACATAAAAATAAAACAAATAAATCAAAAAATATTTTTTAAAAAGAACTCAATATTCATGACAAAGTTATCAACAAATTACACACAGAAGGAACATACATGGACATCATAAAAACCATATGTGACAACTCTTTGCCAGTATCATACCTGATTGGGGAGAAGATGTGTCCATCTACACTGCTCTTATTCTTATACTATTGGAAGGTTTCTCCAAAGCAGTCAGACAAGATAAATAAATAAAAGACATACATACAGGAAGAGAGGATGTCTACCACTCCTATTTATATAATCTGATTCTATATATAGAAAAACCCAAGGATCCCACAAAAAGACTAAACTGATGAATGAATTCAGTAAAGTCAAAGAATTAAAAACAAATAAAGGTAAGAAATCAATAACATTGAGGCTGGAGAGATGGTTCCATTAGTTAAGTGTTTGCTATGCAAGTGTGAGGACCTATGTGCTGGACCCTGAACACCCACAGGAAAAAACATGTTTGGAGTGCATGCTGTAACCCCAGCACTGGCAGGTGATCTGGAAGAGAAGTCAGTGCTCTTGGCCAGTGAGCCCCCCATCAGGCATTCTTAAAACACCAATGACAATACTGTTGATGAGGAAATATGAAAGTAATCCCTTTGTTTGAAAAGTGTATGTTTGCGTATGTTTAAATATAGTGGCTGGGCATTCTGGCTCACATTTGTAGTCCTCACTCTCAAGAGGCAAAGGCAGGAAGACTACAAATTTGGGGCTAGCCTGAACTACAAAGTAAAATTCTGTCTCCAAGAATAAGTGGTGAAATTATATAAAGATGTTATTTATTTTTATTGATAAAACATTTTCATAAATTTTTAAAAAAGAAAAAAGACTCCAAAGAAATACAGAGAAACCTGCCTCAAAAAACCAAAACAAAAAAGAGAGAGAGACAGAGAAGAAAAGAAAAGAGAAAAAGATAAATAATTTAACTCTCCCAAAGTCGCATACCTCCAGTTCCAGTACTCAGAAGGAAGAAGCAGGTGAGTTTCCTGACACAAGTTAGGTCTACATAGGGAGTTCCAGGCCATCCAGGAACAAACTGGTCTTATCTCAAAATACTTAATTAACTATCCAAACTCAATCTTTATTTTTTTTAAAAAAATCATGCTTAGCCCCTGTCATTCTGCAAATAAGATTTCCACATATGCTGTTTACCATTTTATATAGACTCTTTTTTAATAGTTGTCAAAATTAAGCTGGGAATAATGGCACACACATGCAGTCCAGACCTTCACAAGACCAGTGTAGTCAACACAGAAAGAAACCATCACAGAAACAAATAAATAAACAAAAAGGAGCTGGGAAGATAGCTCAGCTGGTGGGATGCTTCCCTACCTGCACAAAGCCCAGGGGTTAGTCTCCAGTAATCCCAGCACTCAGAAGGAAGAGACAGAAGTTCAGAGGTCATCCTAAGCTCTGTTGTGTCTTCCAGGATAGTCTGAGTTACATGAGATCGTGTCTCTAAATAAATAAATCTTAATATAGATAAAATATTTTTATTCAAGAAGATGGCTCATGGGCTGGAGAGATGGCTCAGAGGTTAAGAGCACTGACTGCTCTTCCAGAGGTCCTGAGTTCAATTCCCGGCAACCACATGATGGATCACAACCACCTTGAATGAGATCTGGTGCCCTCTGCTGGCATGCAGGCACAAGACTGTATACATAATAAATAAATAAAATTTAAAAAAAAAAAAAGATCAGCTGGGTGTTGGTGGCGCACGCCTTTAATTCCAGCACGAGGGAGGCAGAGGCAGGTGGATCTCTGTGAGTTCAAGGCCAGCTTGGTCTACAGAGTGAGTTCCAGGACAAGCTCCAAAGCTACAAGGTTTCTTTTGAAACCCTGTCTCAAAAGAAGAAGGGTCAGTTCTTTGCAAGTATAAGGACCCGTGTTCACATGCCCAGCAGCACGTAAAAGACAGGCATGGTAGGTTCTGTAACTCCTGCACTAGGGGAGTGGAGAGGAGGAGTAGACACAAGCAGATGCAGTCTGCTCCAGGATCAATGAGAGATCTTGTCCCTAAAACTAAGGTATGGAAAGCCAGTTAAATGGTCTATAGGATAAACATGCTAGACACCAAACCTGTCGATCTGAGTTTGAGCCCCAAAACCCAGATGGGAGAGAGGTTGTTTTCTTATTTGTATTCTGACCCACCACTTTCACACACGTACAAAATAAATAATGATGAATTTAAAATATTTCTTGAAGTAGAGAGCAATAGAGGGAGGCATCCAACGTGCATGCATGGCTGTACATATCTCCTCTCCCCAACATGCATACAGCACACACACTCAATCAATCAATCAATCAATCAATCAATGGGGATGAATCTCCAAGCAAAGAGTTATTTGTATTTCTAGATAGTAAACATTGCCCCTAATACATATCTACGTGGTCTTTCTAATGACCCACAGTGACAGAACTGTTTCCTTCTACTAGATATTGAGATTATTCCAGTTTTCTTCCTACTACAGTAATTCTGCACTAGGCGCTACCACACACAGAGTTTGTTCCTTCTTGTATCTTAAAACAATTTCCCAAGAGTGGGATTACTGGGCTGAATGATCCTAACAGTGTATAATTCATTAATTACATTATTTTCTAGCAATTGTGTAGTAGAATTCTTTTAAAATAAAATAGGAGTCTGTTACTTCTCGAATGTGAAATATCCTTCACAGATTCACATGTTTGAGGAGCAGGTTGCCCATGCAGTGCTGTTTTGGGGGGCTGTGGGATCTTTTGGACATGGGGTTCTAAGGGGAAAATATCAGTTTGTGGGGCAGGAATTCAAGTGTGTATCTGCCTCTAGTTCTGGTACACTTAGATCTCTGGTTCCTGGTTGTGCCATGTAAGAAACGGCTGTCACATGTTCCTGCCACTGTGGCCTTGAGCAGCTCCCACCACTGTGTCTTGCCCACCATGATGGACTGCATCATCTCAAACCATCAAGAAAAACAAAAAACAAAAAACCTCCTTCCTCAAGTTGTTTCTGTCACGTATTCTCTCACAACACCGAGAAAACGACCAAACACAGAGAGCCCTGTAGGTAGCTCCCACTGGTATATCAATGTCTGCAGTTTCTGACTTCAATGTATTGGACTTCTTGTACAGGAAGGGTCTGGAGAATAGAACAATTAATTGGACATCTGTAGACAGCCCTGAACATCTCCTTTGCAACCAAGCCCACAGCTCCTCCCATCTCAGAAAGGTGGGGTTAGGGAACTGAAGAGCTCCTGACTTGGTCATCAATCCCACTCTTCTCTCCTTTCCCCTGAATGTTATGTCTTCCCTGAAGGTGTATCCTGGTCATTGGAGGAAATGTGGTGTCTCTTAAGACCTGCCAAGCATCACTCCCTTGGTCTTCACAGAGGCTGAGACCTCCTGGGGAGGCTGTGAACAGGGACCACAGCTGACTCCTGACCCCTCTCCTCCAAGCAGAGGAAATTCACTAACTAGCAGAGCTTCAAACAGAGTGAGGCCACATAGCTTACTGAGCTTTGAAATGAGCCACAGTGGCTACCAAACACCAGCTTTCTCAGAACAATGAAAAACCCAAAACAAAGAAATAACCAGAATACATTAGACATGATCCTGAATCAAACTAAATTAGCAGTGCTATCCTTGGCTTTGGTCAGGAAGCCCTGGTGCCATTTACCACCTTGCCTTTCCCTTGGGTGACATCAGAAGACTTCAATTTCTTTTATTTCAGCATCTGTTAGATGTCCTTGATCCACAAAAAACAATGCCCGTTTCCTTCCGTATCCAGTCTGAGGCACTGTCTGAGAAAAACGGAACTTGGGAGTTGCAAGGTTCCCAATGCCTATCTTGAAGATGAAGAGGACGATGGGGCTGTCACATGTAGTAGCCAAGGTGCTTGCCTTGTTAACCTTCACCAGGAACCACAAGTGAGGCACCATCATCATTGTCCTTTTCCAGAAGAGAAAATTAGGTAGAGGGGCTGGAGAGATGGCTCAGTAGTTAACAGTGGTTTCTCTTCAGAGGACCAGGGTTCTGTTTCTAGCACTAGGGTGGTGCCTCACAACCATCTGGAACTATAATTCCAGGGCCTCCAATACCCTCTTTAACCTCCACAGGCATTGCATACACATGGTGCACAAACATGCCTGCAGGCAAAACACTAAAATAAATCTTTTAAAAAAATAGAACAAAACCTACAATACCTAGATTTTGCCAACAATTAGCTGAGGTCTGAGTCAGAAACCCTATTTGTGGCATTCTGTCATGCTGGATTCTGTCTCTCTGTCTTATTGAACAGCTTCTCAGGGAAAGGCAGGATTGTCTGTAACCCTGGAACTTAGAGGAACTTTAGAGATAACCTTACTGGGTCACTGAGTGGCTGTGTTTTTGCTTATTCAGAATTCCCCCTTTGCACTTGGCCATAGCCAACCTTTCTTTCTCCACCCTCCTCTCAGTGAACACATATTCAAAGTGTCTGTGACATTACAGGCCAGTGAGTCAGCCATCAGGCAAGCTGCCAAGCCCGCACTTGGAAAGAGATGTATTTGAATTTGCCAGTTCAGTGTGCCTCTGCTTCTCCTCTGACAGGAAATTGATGACTGCCTGGTCCAAGCAAAAGATCGGAGTTATGATGCCCTTGTGCACTTCGGGAAGCGGGGCTTGAACGTGGCGGCCACAGCAGCTGTGATGGCTGCTTCTAAGGTACAGTACCATGCTGGGCCCTGACTACCATGGCTGCTGGGCATCTTAGGTCCCCTAGTTGCCTCTACCTGTCACCTATGTGGATGGTACAGGATAGGCTAAAGACCAATTGGCACCTCTTTATTTGAAGGTCCCTTTAAAAATATGATGGAGAGCTGGGCAGAGGTTGATCGCAACAGTTGGGAGGCAGAGGCAGGCAGATCTCTGTGAGTTCAAGGTCAGCCTGGTCTATAGAGCGAGCTCCAGGACAGCCAGGGCTACACAAAGAAACCTTGTCTCAAAAAACAAAACAAACAAATTATGAAGGAGAAAAAATGGTGAATTTTGCCTCCAGAGCATTCTCCTTTCTTTCTGGGAATGCACATGCATACGTATGTGATATGTGATAGCAAGAGTTTTCCAGAGTCCATGAAGCTCCCAGTGGATCACAGGTTAAAAATCTCTAACCTGGGCTTCAAAGATGGTTCAGTGGTTAAGAGCACATGCTGCTCTTGCAGAGGTATGGATGGGTTTGGGTCTGATGGGATGGAGGTATGGAGGAGGGGAGGAGGGGAGGATTCTAGTTAGGGCACAGCCCCTCCTGTTGTACAGAACTGTGGGAAAGTGTGACTCCAGTATCCACAGGACTCCTGGACACCTTGGTGGGATAGGAAATATCATAGTGATGGATCCCAGACAGCATTTCTGGGAAGGAAACTCTGTCTTGGTACTTGAGATTTATCAGGGTTTACAAAAAGCAGTGAATCCCAAGAAACTTCCATTTGTGATGCAAATCTCTAAGGTTCAATTTTTTTTTTTTTTTTTTTTTTTTTTTTTTTTTTTTTTTTTTT